CCTTTAGTTCTACTGGATACCACACACATTCGTCTATGTATAGACTGAATGTATAACCTATCAATATATAAGTTGCACGAACTCTCATGGAAATATATTTTTGTGTCGTACATTGCATCTCATTCACTGATCGTTTGCATGTCCGTCTAGGCACCTTCTCACATGGTCGACTATAGGTTAATGTCTATTGTGTCTTGCAGGTCTTATATATATACAGTTAACAAATATGATTCATATATATTTCTTAATTTCTGAATTATTGCAACGAATCGACTAGAACGCGATAGTTTTACTTTCTCAATTATTTCCGCAACATTTCGTTGCTTTTAATTGCTAAAATTAAAAATAATATACTGTATTGTATATTCTACCACACATTATTACCCCCTCCAAAACACTAAGGTCTTCATGACGTATTTAATTAATGAAATAAGGTACTTGATGTAATTATGAATATAAGTAGGTCATGAGCAATGAGCATAAACAAAATACATGGCAAGGACATGTATAACAAGCGAAATATATGAGAATGTAATTTCGACTCATTTCAGACAATCCTGGACAAAACATCTGCGACACTTCCAATTATACTTGACAAAATATCGTAATGTTATCGTAAATTTAGAAAACCTCCCCCTTTCCCCCACCATTCAATGTTGATTGGATTCGTAGAATACGGATAAAACGTCCAACATTGTTTTGGGGGGCGGAGGGGGCAAACGAGTAAATTATTCCGGTCTAACTGGTAAAAAAAGCCACAAAGGAATGTTTTATCGGTTTTAATAGAGTGTCGCAGATGGTTTTGTCCAGGATTGTCTGTGTCTTTCAAATTCAATAACCAAGGCATTGCGCATTAAAAATTGTGTTTTATGCAGGACTTTCTCTTCCCGTAGTAACTATGACTCACTATAATGTATTAGGCTTCAAGAAGCAAATACCACATGGTCAACAAGGTAATATAATACCCTCATGCAACGCTATGCTTCGATAGCTTGTATAGAATGCGACTAAGAATCATATGCGACAACTTTCGCGCATTTAATATACGTCGGAGAGCAAGTCAATGTACCTCATAGTGTATATACCAACTATTTTGCACTAAGAATATTCTAAAATGCGTTTATCCATACTTATTTGTGTTGTTAGACAGACTAATGCTTAGCTGTTGAGTGGAAATATATTGCGTGACCGCCGCACTAAATGACTAATCCGATTTTGTTATTGTCGTATAATAGCGCATGCGCATTGACGGTGTACCATGGTACACCGTGAACATATAAGAATATATATATATATAACCTTTTGTAGGGTGAAAATGGTACACCGTGGAGTATTTTAAAATTATCGCACTAAATATTGTCTGAAGTAGGTTGGAATACTAAGCAACACACGTTCTTTCAAGTCCATTCCATTGGTTTGTATTATATCCCATAACTGAGGATATTATCACAGTCTTAGTGTATTGGTCAGTGGTACACCGTTAGGTATGACATTGGGAAAATATGAGCATTGATTTACCACACCAGGAAAACTTGTGTCAAAATGCATAATTCACAATTATATAGTTGTCGCTTAATATTCTAAATATATGCAGTAAATACCAGAAACGCGGTAACTATATTGAATTTATTGTCCTTTAGTTCTACTGGATACCACACGCATTCGTCTATGTATAGACTGAATGTATAACCTATCAATATATAAGTTGCACGAACTCTTATGGAAATATATTTTTTGTGTCGTACATTGCATCTCATTCACTGATCGTTTGCATGTCCGTCTAGGCACCTTCTCACATGGTCGACTATATAGGTTGTCTATTGTGTCTTGCAGGTCTTATATATATATACAGTTAACAAATATGACTCGTATATATTTCTTAATTTCTGAATTATTGCAACGAATCGACTAGAACGCGATAGTTTTACTTTCTCAATTATTTCCGCAACATTTCGTTGCTTTTAATTGCTAAAATTAAAAATAATATACTGTATTGTATATTCTACCACACATTATTACCCCCTCCAAAACACTAAGGTATTCATGACGTATTTAATTAATGAAATAAGGTACTTGATGTAATTATGAATATAAGTAGGTCATGAGCAATGCGCATAAACAAAATACATGGCAAGGACATGTATAACAAGCGAAATATATGAGAATGTAATTTCGACTCATTTCAGACAATCCTGGACAAAACATCTGCGACACTTCCAATTATACTTGACAAAATATCGTAATGTTATCGTAAATTTAGAAAACCTCCCCCTTTCCCCCACCATTCAATGTTGATTGGATTCGTAGAATACGGATAAAACGTCCAACATTGTTTTGGGGGGCGGAGGGGGCAAACGAGTAAATTATTCCGGTCTAACTGGTAAAAAAAGCCACAAAGGAATGTTTTATCGGTTTTAATAGAGTGTCGCAGATGGTTTTGTCCAGGATTGTAGCTCAATTTTGTTGCTTGCAGTGTATCGGATCTATGGGTCTTTCAGATCCCAGAATTACCTAATTAATGTAAAGTCTGCATAAAGCAGAAAAGGCTCTGCTTTGTCAATGACCGGTGCCTATTGAGTGACCAAATATTGTCAGCCTAATCCACTTATTTGATTGCTAATTCTTGTTGCATTACTTTCATTGCAAAGCACCTGGATTACATGATTTGCCCATAAAATTGCAGCAATTGATAAACTTGAGTACATGGACTGAATGTATCAAGCAGAATGCATGTTGGCGATTTTAAGCGATCTTAGGCGATTTTAGGCGATTTAGGAGAAATTCGACAATTTTAACCCGCGATTTAGTGCGATTTTAGGCGATTTAGGGCGATTTAAGGCGATTTACCGCCCCAGAGTAGGCCTATTTTAGAGTTAGTAGACGTTCCGTCAGTTCTTTGTTAGATTTAGTTGACAGGAATTGAGTATCATAGAAACAGTTTATTAATGTTTTAAAGTCTTTTATATTTTTCAGTCTTTTATGTTTTTTTTGTTTTATTTTTACAACAGTCTCAAAGTATAAGAAGTAATATATGAACAACGAGAGCGAGTCTACACGAGCTCGAGTTGTTTATATGGCTTCTCAAATGAATCGAGACGTAACAGAATGTTTTCGTTTGCTGATTTGAATATAGAATTCTTAACGAAGCATATATAACGTAATTAGGAATTCTATTCATGTAATTTTGCATGCGTAATTAATATATTTGATTAAAACACTAGTGACTTTCATCAAGTTTGACCGTGTTATCTGAATGGCATCGTGTGATCAAATAGGTGATTATCATTGGCTGAATTGCTCATGAATTATTAATGAATTTGAGAATCGTATATGAAAACATCCGCTATCTTGCTTTTCCACCTGAGAATACAGTCCATATTTAGCTCTCGCGTGCACGAAATGGAAATTGAACTACATTCAACTTTCTTGCAGGTGCCGCTATAATTACACATGCATTTGACTTGTATAAGTCGCTTTGGCCAAAGCGACCGTAATCGGAAACTGCCTTTAAAGCAATTTCCGTGGAAGAAAAACGTCGGTCCTGTCAAACAGAATGTCGGTCCTGTCAAAAATATTTTGTTACTGAAACTTCATTGCAAGTCAAATAAATAGTGAACTTGCTGAATTCTGAACAATATATTCACAGGATTCCGTCGGCCGCGCAATGAGAAATGTGAGCATAGCCCGCATTCTTCCTGCCGATGATTTTAATTTATTTATATAACATACGCTTAAGCCCCATTCAAACGATTGCAACATCATCCAACATGCAATGTTGGTTCAACAACGTTGGACAATCTTGGATGATTTAAAATAAACAATATCAGGCCGAAACCAATCCAATATCAGTCAAGATTACCCGACATAGTGTTGAAACGAGGCCAACAATGTTGCACCCAAAAATGTTGCAAGATGGTGGACCAACATGTTGGCCTCGCTTGAACGGGCCTTAGAAGACGAAAATTGAAAGGAATGGGATAAAAAAATATCTGCAGTATAAACGGTGCACTGCTCACAATTCGCCTGACACTATTATTTTATTTCGCAAAGAACTTTATACAGTTTTTAACCACGGCTTTTAGATCTACTAAAGATATCCAATTTCCAACTTTTAGCAGTAGTTTTAGAGCGAATAGTGATACGGTTGAGGTGTATGATTGTCCACCTCATATATCACCGCAAATTTCGGATAATATTTTAAATTGACCAGAGTTGGTCATCTAAATATAACATCGCTCTTCAAACATGTCGATGAACTAAGAGTCTATATGAGAGACGAGCCATTTGATATAGGCCTACTAAGTATAAATGAGAGCCGCTTGGACCGTTGGACGCAAATATAGCCTGGGATACCGATCGCATCCAGGGCTATGATATGGTAGCTAAACACCGTAACCGAGAGGGTGGCGGTGTTGCACTTTATTACCGAAGCACTCTCAATGTTATAAATAGAACCGATTTAGTCCCCGCGGAAGTAGAAGCAGTCTGCCTTGAAATAGTAAAGCCTAAATCCAAGCCTATATGTTTGTTGTGTCAGTGTATAGACCACCAAACTCCAGCATTGAATTGTTTGAGAAAATTGAAAAATTATTTCAAAATTTAGACAACGAAAGAAAAGAGCTGATACTTGTAGGTGACTTAAACTGTGACTTCATAAAAAATGCTGCTAACGACCAGACGAAGCGGCTGATCGACTTAATAAATGTATTCCAATTAACTCAGTTGATTAAAGAACCAACACGTATCACAGATACCACAGCTACTCTTCTTGACGTGGCCATTGTGAGCAAACCGGATAATATCTGCAGATCGGAAGTTCTGCATATAGGAATAAGTGACCCCAGTTTTAATTTATGTTTGCAGAAAAATATCTTTCGTTAAAAAAGAGAATAAAAACCGTGAACGCAAGGAATTATCGAAATTTTAATCAACAACATTTCAATGATGATCTATTTCATCATCTAACCCTTTGAGAAAACTTTCAATTATGTCTCTGATACCCATGCTCCTTTACGGAGAAAGAGAGTGAGGAGTCAAAATACGCCGTGGCTTACTGATACAATTAAACTCGATATGAATCGTAGAGAGTATCTTAAGAAAAAAGCGGTAAAAAATAATTCTTTGTGATATCCTAATATAATGCTGATAAGGCTCTACGTAATAAGGTAAATAAAGATGTCATTTGCGCTAAGCGGAAACATTATGTAAAATCAATTGAGGAAAACATGGGAAATCCTAAACTTATGTGGAAGCACTTCATTGTCTGCTAAATAGAAAGTCTATACGTACTGGTGTACAAGCCATTAAAACGGACGATGGAGATGTTGTCGAGAGCCAGACAATAGCCGAACTGTTTAATGAGTATTTTTCTAATATTGATCCGACCTTATCAAACCAAATAACAAGCATAAGTGGCCAGGTCTTTGAAAGTTACATGATGCATGAAGCTTCTGGAATATTTGAATTTGCGACAGTAGATAGCACAATTGTACTTAATGAACTGGAAAAATTAAATTCGTCTAAATCGACAGGTCCAGATAATATCCCAGTTAAACTGTTAAAAGACTCCAAAGAGACAATTGCACCTTTCTTGGCATACATATTTAATACTTCCCTATGTAGTGGGATATTCCCTGATAACCTTAAGGTGGCAAGAGTTTCTCCAATTTATAAAGAAGGTGATAAAAAAGAAAAGGGTAATTATACACTGATATCTGTTCTTTCAACTGTCGCTAAACTATTTTAGAAGCTCGTATGCATACATGCAGTTAACAGATTATCTAAATGCAAATGACATTCTAAGCCCGTGTGAGTCACGCTTCCGTCAGAACCACTCAACAATGTCGTCCCTGTTGTCAAATAGCGATTCATGGCTACTCGATATGGATGCTGGGCTTGTAAATGGAGTTGTATTTCTTGATTTGCGTAAAGCATTTGATAAATTTATGGGGTTCAAAATACTGCCCTAAAGTGGTTTATTTGATATTTATTTGATCGAAAACAGTTTCGCAAGGTAGGAAGTGCAGCATCGTCAACAAAAAACATACGCTGTGGAGTACCACAGGGTTCAAAAATATCGGTCCATTGTTATTTCGCTTGTATGTCAACGATCTCCCGAACTGTCTAAGATACTCTAGTGCTGAAATGTATGCGTGTTCCGATGATATAATACTTTACAAGCCATTTTGAATTCGGACTTGAACAATATCCATCAGTGGATAGTAGCCAATAAATTAACTTTGAATGTTGGTAAAACAGAGTATATGATTATTGGAACACGGCAGAAATTTAAAAATTTCTCAAGTGAAATGAATATTAACATGGGTGGGAAAAACTTAACACAAGTCTTTTCTAAAAAAGTTTTAGGCATAATAATAGGTGATCAATTACGCTTGGATGAACAAATAGACAACATAAGTAACAAAGTATCTCAAGGCATCGTCATGTTACGGCGAGCTAAACAGTTTGCTAAAAGAGAAACGCTCCAATTTCTTTATAATTCTACGGTTCAACCTTATTTTGAGTATTGCTCCCTGGTTTGGGGCAACTGCGGCGAATCCCAGAAGGAAAAACTGCAGAAACTTCAAAACAGGGCAGCAAGGGTCATTACAGTCGATACTTATGATATACGTTCAAAAGATATTTTTAAAAAGTTGAATTGGAAAAATCTAGCCGTAAAAAGAAAAGAAAAAGCAAGTGCGTATGTTTCAAATTAAGCTATTACCGGAAATCGCCCGAAAAATATAGCTGAAAAGTTTAAAATATCAAATTCTGAAAGATATGATTTAAGAAGCAATAATAAATTTTTAGCATTGCCAAAACCGAAAACAAATTTTATGGCTCGCACCTTTGGGTATGCTGCTGCTAAAATTTGGAACGAAAGGAATAAAGTAGAGTGAATGTATCTCTATCTCTGTGCTTTTGTTTATTTTCTTTTAATATTGTAAATAACTGTTATACTTATTGACACACGGCCTAATCAAAAGCAACCATTTTAATTTGTATATATATATATATATATATATATATATATATATATATATATATATATATATATATATATATATATATATATATATATATATGTTATATATATATATA